CCCCCGCCACAGCCCCGGGGCCCCTGGCCAGCGCACCCCACGCTGAGCATGTGGGAGGGGAAGCTGGCCCCATAATGGGGATTCACTTCTGCTCGAGGGTCTCCCCAGGAAGCCCAAGCACTCTGCAGTGGGCGGAGCCCCCAGGGTCCCGAGTGAGGCCTTGCCGCACCTGGGGCGGCAGGGGCCGGGCACAGGGAAGCAGACGCGGGCGGGGGCGGCGAGCCCACCTCCGGGGCACGGTGCCCCGAGGGAACTGGCACCCAGTGGGAGGCTCTGGCCTCCGGCGACAAGGGTGTTGCTGTGCTCACCCAGACCCGGGGCCGTCCATGCCGGGCGCTGCGGGGGAGCTCCCACGCCCAACGCCCCAAGTGCTTCCCTGGGCCTCGGGGGGCCGCTGCTGCGGGGCAGCGTGAAGTCCGAGCTCTGGGCTGGCCTGGGCACCACACCAGGGCCCCGCAGGGCCCTGCCAGGCAGCGCGACTGCGGTGCGAGGAGCCCAGACCAGGCATGGGGCTGCCGGGCTGAGCCTGCGCCTCCCTGGGCCAGTGCTGTCCACCCACAGCAAGCAGCCAGAAGACACCAAGGCACAGGGGCCCCAGTGGTGACCTCTGAGCCCCAAGAGACAAAATCACCAGCATCCCAAAGGACATCGGCGGCAGACCCTGCCCCGCCCTACAGCCCGGGCGGCCTGTATGCCCACCTGGGGTCCAGACCCCACACCGCTCCCACGGCCACCTCCCTGGCCACTCTCCCCAGCTGAGGATGGTCAAGAAGGTGCTGCCACTGAGTGCCCACAGACAAAACAATCCCCACAGACCCTGGCCCCAGCCCAGCCCAGCCCGGCCCAGCCCAGCCCGGCCCCGGCCCAGCCCGGCCCTCCCCACCCCTACACCCTACAAGCTCTCCCGTCGCCCCCGCTCACACTGTTGCCCCTCAGTTCTCCCCTTCCATCACCCAAACTACCCAAGCTGAAGCAGGACGATGCTGACAAAAAGACCAGCGGAGCCTCGGAGGAAATTCCAAAGCCGTTACTTAAAGAACCGCTGAGGGCGCTCCAGCCCCAGGCCAAGCACAAGCCGAGGCCCAAGCAGACTCTGCAGCCCACACCCAGAGCCCGCAGGGAGCCGGGAGGCACACAGACCGGGTCAGCCGGGGCTGCCGCCCACCCCCGCGGGAACCCCGAGGCACCTGCAGGGCCAGAGCGAGCCTCAGCTCCACGCGGCGGAACCCCCAGTGGGGGGACGCGGGCACTTTCAGAAACGCGCCAGTCCGAGGGCCGGGGGGCCGACGGG